GGCATGGAAATCCAGAAGAGAACAGCGGTGTTTACACATGGCTCTTCCACATAAAGGTGCCTCTGTACCTACAATGGCCTTTATGGTTTCTCATGAATACTTTACCACGGTTATTACTGTGTACACTGTCAGTTATGTAACCACTATGCCCCATTCTAAATCTCATTGAGTATCAGTCAGAGAATATTTTTCTTCAACTTCTGCTTATGTGTATAGCATCAAGATCACAGGCCTGGGGGCCGGGGATTTAGCTCAGCGGTTCGGTGGCCTGCCTTGCAAGCGTAAGGACCCGAGTTCAATCCCCGGTACCAAAAAAACAAAACAAAACAAAACAAAAAAAGATCACAGGCCTGGGAGCCTGAGAGGGGCACTATTAAGTTAAATGAATATTGAAGTAGTGTGTGTGAATCCAGTTTTCTTCTTGAAGGATCTCGATGTGTGCTAGGGCTCTAATCTGACATTTCCCTCCTGCTGAGGCAATTAATGAGGTTGAAGGGATTGGGATCCCCAGACCTTGGAGCAACATTAATTCATGCTGCTGAGTAAGTCACATGACTCACGGAAACATGGATGGAAAAAAGTAAAATGCTTCATAAATCCTTTCATTATCATTATTCTTGTGGAGTAAAGAAATGCCAAGGTCATGTGAATGATAATGCCTTGGATTTATGCAAAGCGCACATTTACTTTAGAAACTGATTTTTAGTAGGAATTTCTCAGATCAATGAAATTGCTGTGAATCTCGTGGCTTTCAGGTGGATGTTGGTATATTGTTGTCTCGTGAAATAATTCATGATAGAGATAGTTATGTGGGTCTAGTAGTGCTGCAGAACCCCATGTGGAAAAAGAGCAGCTTAAGTGGCAGTTCCCTGCCCCACCAGGATGATCAGCACCAGTCTGAGGTGCAGTGTAAGTCAGATGCTGGTGTCAGGAGAAACCTGTTCTGTAACATGAGAACTTCATTTATGATAGAAAATGAAATACATATAACACAAAAGCATATAAGCTCATTGTAAAACATGATAAATATGAGTGTAAGAAGTTCCTCTTTTATCTCCATCCCTACCCCTCAACTCTACAGACACTGTCAGCTGCTATATAGCTAGGTTTCAAAAATGTTTTTGACACAGCTATACACATATTGCCTTTTTTTTTTTACAAAAATGGAATTATACTACACTGTTGTTTTAATTGTATAAACACTTCATGCAAACATTTTGTATATCATTACATGGATCTCCCTCATCTATTAAAATACTTTAAGGAATAGTATTCCATTGTTTGCACAATAGTTTACTGATCCTCTAGTCAAAGACTATTAAATGGTTTCCAGTTTTGTTCTTGTTTTTGTCCTCTTAGGTAATCTCTTCCTCTGTGTATCTGTTTAGTTCCTTAAATTCCTAAAATTGGGATTTTTGGGTAAAGCAGCTTGTACTTTCAAAACATATTTCCAGATTCCCTCTGGCGATAAAGTATGAATTTACTGTTCCACCAATGACACCCATTTACTTATACCTCCTGCCAACAGTATCAAGTCTTTTCAAAAATTTCCAAACAGCATCCAAAATACCATCACCATGAACATCAAAAAACTTCATTGCTGTTATGTTTTACATTTTAGTGAAATTGAATGTCTTGGGATTTCCATTTAAATGGATATTTTCTATAACTTATAATAATTGTAATACAATTTTCAGTAATCAGAAATAAAGCATTTCTTTTTCTTTCTTTCTTTTTTTGTTTTTGTTTTTGTTGTTGTCGCTGTTGTTTTTTGAGACAGGGTCTCACTATGTAGTTGAGACTGACCTGGAACTCACTATGTAGCCCAGGCTGGTCTCGAATTCACAGCAATCCTCTTGCCTCAGCCTCCCAAGTGCTGGGATTACAGGCGTGTGTCACCATGCCCAGAAGCATTTCTTGATGTAATTGAGAAGTAAAAAGTACCACAGTCACAAAATATTCCTAATTTTATTACAAAAAGACATCAAAATTGATTTCTTTGTTCTTTCTTTTTTTTGAAACAAGGTCTTGCTGTATAGCTCAGCCTCGAACTTGCAGTGATCCTCCTGACTTAGCTTCCCAAGTGCTGGGATTGCAGACACCCACCACCACGCCTGGCTAAAATCAACTTCTTATGGTATTATAAATTGTATTAGAGTTAAATTCAGTATGTTTTTCATTCAATGAAACAGACACAATGCAACACATAAAGGAAATGATTAATAAATTCCTTAAGGGCTCTAGCTGTAGGTCTTTATCAATAAAACTTAGACCAATATTTTCTTTTTCTAAAGTCATGATTCCAGCCCAGGGAAAACAAATGGAAGTTTGTCTGCACACATATGATATTATTCGATTAGCCATATGTGCTATATTTCACATTCAGTAAACAGGGATCATATAATGTGACATGTTATCTAGCTGCATACTAATACACAGCTAAAAATCCTATTAAACTGCTCTTTGTCCTATCTAAACATGTAATGGCATCTAGAAGAGGGCACAAAAATAAATAAAGCAATGGACACTGGCTGCCAAATGATGCACAAATACAATTACTTTCAGTTCTGCACATTTCCAGTGAAAGACAGCTTCACACAGCAGGGAATAAACCAGCGCAGTTCTCAGAAATATTGGCTCACTGCAGCTAAACCCCTTAGCATGGCACTCAAACCAGCCATGAGTTACTTCTACCTGCCACACAGAAGACCATTCATTTCTAATTTGTAGGCTATGCTTTACAATCATTCTACTTTAATTTAACTGCTTCATTATCTGATGTAATTATATAAAAGTTTACCCATTAGAGAATATTTTATAGCACAATTTACAGGATTATTCATGCTTGAAAGGGCATGGCACTTAAAATATGGATGGTAGTTATAAAGGTTTTTTCCATAATTTCATATCCAAGGATATGAATATCACCTACTCTATTTTCCTGGTGTTTGCCTACTTGCCATAAAATTGTGCAAGATGTCTGCGAACTTTATAGCTATTATGAGACTTTAAACATACTGATAATGTGAAATGAAAAAAAAACTGTTGTTTTCTTTGCAACAAAATACAAAAAACTTTTTTGGGGGAGTACTAGGGACCAAACCCAGGGGTGCTTTACATCCCCAGTCCTTTATATTTTCTTTTTTATCTGGAGAAAGTTTCACTAAATTACCCAGGATGGGCTCAAACTTGTTATCCTCCTGTCTCTGCTTCCCAGAATTCTAGGATTATAGGCATGCGCCAAAACATGTGACATAAAGAGCATTAAGTACTAGAGGTCTTCTTGAGAGTTGTAAAATTAGGCTATGCCCAATTTGAAGGCAGAGAACAGTATATAATGATCTCAACCACCATTCTATAGATCTAGGAGCCTCAAAATCCACCAACTCAAACTCCAATATAGAAAGTATCAGAACCTTCTCTAAGATTCACTTTAGTCATCCTGTTGGTTAGAACTCTGTCTCTAGGCTGATTCTGAAAAGTTCATCTAGTTAGCAGTTAGCAAAACTTGGATATGAGTAGAAAAAAAGTTCAGTAGTGGAAATTTTCTGAAAGCCAACAGGAATATCACAGCTCAAGGAAACAGTATATGGGGACGATGACCAGTAAGACAGTTAAGAGACAAACACTAAGTAAATGGAAGACACCTAGAAGGTGGAACAAACAGGCAAGCAACATAAAATCCATGGGCTGGGGATTTAGCTCAGTGGCAACAGGCCTGCCCTGCTGGTGCAAGGTCCTGAGTTCAATCCCTGATATATATATATAAAAAAAAACAAACCAACTTTCAAATATTATATTGCATTAACATATACTATGATGTTTTAGTATGAGAGCAAAGTGGTGGCACAGGGAGTTGGCTGTTGGTTTCCTAGAGATTCTAAGCACAACTTTCAGGAAACAGGGTGAAGGTAGGAACTGAGATAAACCCACACATAAAATTTGTAGTTACTGTTTAAGCAAGGAGTCACAGTGAAATGAAATTTCCACTCCAATAAAGGAAAGTTGGAAAATCCCCCAAATGCGAACGTGGCCCTCTATTTTAACAATATTCTTTGGTTTGGAGAAAGAAAAAGTAGAAAAAGGTTTTGCAACTTCAAAAAAGTTATACAAGCCTTTGATTTTATTTTTATGGATTTCTTAAATCAGATACTTAAAAAAACTAGTTAAATTTGCCCCATTATGTAATATTTATTATAATACCAACCAGATTTATATAATCATTATTCTTGAAAGACAATAAATAGACTCTAAAATCTAATGGTAATCCATAACAGATTGCAATCAATTTAACAGTAAGAATAAAGATAACTTCGCTAAAGAGCTTGGATCTTCCTAACAATTTAAAGAATTCAGTTTAACTTAATATATTAGAAAAATCTGCTTTGGATAAGATATTGCTTTTTGAACCATCTATCATTTCTTGAAGAATAAGGCACACAATCACTAGCATGATAAATCACAAAACTTTAAGGAACTCTGATGACAACAGATGGCACATGTGCCACAGCAAAAGCAGGTGCTCTAGGGTATTTACTTTAATATCAGAGTAACGTGAAACTTACAAATGTAAATTTAACAGAAATTAAATTTTCCTTTTCTAAAAAGTTAAATCTTTTCAACAGAAGATCAATCTCAAAGGACAAAGGAAAAAGCAAAGACTTTTTCCTAGGTCTATTTTATTTTTTTAAAATATGATTTGTAGGGCGGTGATTTTGCAGCTTACATATTATCAGACATTCTCTAGATTCTGGAAAGTTTTCACCAATTTCTCCAACCATCAGTGTCAAAAAGCTATAATGTCATCATATATATATATGATATATATATACATATATCATATATATATGATTTGTATCTCAGTATCAGGCAGATTTTTAAAAATGACTTAATTGGGATAATATTTTAGAATAGAGTGTAAATAAACTGATAGCAACTAAAATAATTTTAATGCAACAATCTGGAGTTCACATTTATTATTGGTTGTTATTTTTTTGTGTGAATTCAAATTCAAGTATCAATATTTTGTTAATGCTATTTATAACACATATTTTGTTAAATTTAGTTGTTTAAAACACCAACATGAGATTCTTGGGTAAAGATCCTTAAAAAATACAACTTTAGTGAAATTAACTACAGCAAACATGTTATAAAAATTTCCTAAATTGATTTTTGTAATCATAATCTAGAACTGTTAGTTATAGTCTTTTATGAATATATTTTGCAAGTGCTCTGAGGCAGATTTTGTCAGTAACCCATGAAGTACTTTGCAAATTATATTCAGTCAGGATCAATATAAATTAAACAAATACATGTTAGTCCTTACTATACATCTTATTCATAATCTCAATTATTTTGGCCATTTCACTGTTTCAGTATCTCAGGAAAATGTGGATACAAGTATAATGCTAATTATCCATACTAAAATTTGAGCTTATGAAATGGACTTACAGGTTTATTCCCACACAACTAATTGGATGCTAATCTAACAAAACTATTAGTAATGCCAGGTAAACACAAACAGTAGTGAAAATATATCATGGAATAAATGAAAGTCTAACATTGTACTAGAGGGACATAAAAGAGAAGCAGATGTATGATGAGTATAATTTTAAAAGTATACATGTTTCCTGAGCCAAGAGGAATCCGGAATCATAAAAATTAAAAAGGATAAGTATCCAACTTTGATTTTAAAAATTTGTTTTAATATGTCTACCCTTCATTATCATCATCTGAACCAAGTGCTTCTCCAAGAGTCATATAGTTACTTCAGACATCAAGACGAATTCCATGTTTTGAAGATATCGTTTGTCTGGTCCCTGTTAGATACATAATGAATGAACAGACGTGAGGTAAAGATGATGTGGTTACTACATAAAGCCAGAATGGCACAGGAGAAGTTTTTCCAAATGGACATATCCATAAGCCATGACGAATTCCATCTCGAATGTGGTGTGAGGTCCAAGATATAAATAGCATCCAGGGAAGAAAGTACCATGAGTCTTTGAGCTTGAAAAGATGCATAGTAAACTTCAGGGTCAGAGCCACAATAGGTATCACTGTGGAACAGTGAAGGAAAGGTCTTCGTGGAAGAGACAAAGCAGCCTGGGTGGGGGAAAGAGGAAGCAGGAACTAGTATTATTTCCTTCTTAGAAAAATAATTTATAGCTGTCTCTTAATGTCTTTTTTAAAATTAATTTTATTGGTACATTTAAGGTATACAATGTAATGACATTCATCATTCAAAATTTGCACCTTTACAATAATCCATCTTGGTTCTTATTTTCTCCCCATTCCCCTGCCCTCCCTTCAACCCCTCCACCCCTCTATCTACAAAGGCTGTTTCCATTTTTTCTTTCTCTCTCATTAATTCCATTCCCATTTTTCTTTTCCCCTACCCTTCCCACTTCCCCTTTGAACCTTTTCTTCCTATTTCACAGTATCCATTATACCTTTTAGTCCTTATTTACACTTTCAGTTTCTCACATAAGAGAAACTATACAGTATTTACACATATGCACTCCTCTTTATTTCACTTAAGAATACTACCTCAATGTTCATCCATTTAGCTATAAATGTCTCTAGTTTCTCATTCTTTATGGCTGAGTAGTACTCCATTTTATTTTTTGAAAAAAACAACACATTTTCTTTATCCAGTCTCTTGTTGATGGGCAACTGGATTGCTTCCACATTTTAGCTAACACAAATTATGCTGCTATGAAGAAGGGAGCACATATATCACTGTGGTATGATTCTTTTAATTCTTTGGGGAAGATACCCAGCAGGGGGATAGGTGGGTGAAACAGGACCTCCAATCCCAGTTATTTGAGGTATCTTCCTACTGATTTCCACAGTGGTTGCACCAGTCTACACTCCCACCAGCAGTGGAGCAGGGTTCCTCTTTCCCCACAGCCCCACCAGCATTTGCTATTGGCTGATTTCATGATAGCAGCCATTCTTTCTAGGATGAGGTGGAATCTCAGTGTTGTTTTCATTTGCATCTCTTGAACGACCAGTGATGTTGAACATTTTTTCATATGTTTATTTGCTATTTCTACTTTTTTGTCTGAGAAATGTCTGTTCATTTCAGATGCCCATTTGTGGAATGGGTCTTTAAATTTGGTAGGTCTGAATTTTTTTAAGTTCTTTATATATTCTAGATAGTAGATCTTTGTCTGAGGAAGAGCCGGTGAAAAGTTTTTCCCACATGGCGGGTTGTCTCTTCACACTGTTGGCTGTTTCTCTTGCTGTGTAGAAGCTTTGTAATAAGAAGAGTAGCTTCTTCTTAATGTTTTTATATGTCCAGAGGTTATTGGAAATGCAAGGGAAACACGCCATCTCAGAATACATACAGTATACAAAAACTATATAAAGCAAAGAAGATAAAAGTGTAAGCAGGATAGTCTCTGTATGAAAAATGAAATTAATTTTTAAGTTTCCCACATGATTATAATTTATACTCTAAATATATGGTTTATGTCTTTAACACATAATTTTACATGAGATAAGGTGTGACATTTCAATACATGTATACAATGTGTGATGAACAGATGAGGGTAAATGGTACATCCAGAACCTTAAATATTTATCATTTCTTTGTTCTGAAAACATTCAAAATCCTCTCTAGTAGCTCTTTTGAAATGCAAAATAAATTGATGTCATCCACAGTTACCTTACTGTGATACAGAACATTAAAAGTTACTTATTGAACTGCAACTCTGTACTCATTAAGCAACCTTTCTCTATCCTGACTACTTCCTATAATTTGGATTTTTAAAGAATTCTCTGGGGCTTTTCAAAGCACTGGGGAAAATAACTCACAATGACTAAAATATTCTTTGATGAATTTCTTAAAGTTAAGAAGTTTCATTAACTATTTAAAAGTCATTGCAAAAAATATAATTAATATTTGAAGAAATGAAAATTTTGCTTAACATGAATGGTCTGTGAGATTTTGCTCCACCAACTTTAAAGGCTAATTTGCAGCCAGATAATTCATAACAGAAAGAAAGCTGAGATGCCGGGTGAAGCTAGAAGCTGGGTGCAGTGGTGTACATGTAGCAGCAATCTGGGGGCTGAGGCATGGGCAACTTAACACGACTCTGCCTTGAAATAAAAGAGGGCTGTGTCTGTAGTTCAGTGTGAGGGCCCTTCATTTCAATCCTAGTACTAGGAAGGAAGGGAGGGAGACAGGGAAGGAGAGAAGAAGACAAGAAAAGACGGAGGAGGAGGAGAGATGAGGGGAGGGGAGAGGAGATAGAAGTGAGGATAGTGATGATTGTCTAAATCTGAATCTCTCCACATAGCCTCTAAAAACTCACAGAATAGGAAAGACACGTAAAACTACACAAACCCCCAAACACTCAGAATAGCTAGAAATCAGAGAATGCTCATACTTCAAATTATCTATAACTATTAAAATAAACACCAAATCAGTGAGCTCTCAAGCTCTCTCACTACCACCCCAAGCCAGGAAAACTGCTGAAGAGAAAAGGGACACCCAAGATAGATATGCAATGACCCCTAAAAAGAGGAAGTTCAGTCTAAGTGTGAGAACACTGAAAAGGGTCCTGGTAGATCATTGACTGCCAAGGAAAGATTTATAGGTGTGCACAACTGAAGGCTATGAATGGCACTGACTCCAGAGAAGATAGTAAAGTGGAAGGGAAAAGTGCCTTTTGGAGACTGGGAAATAAAGGAAAAAGTAGTAGTGAAAGGAAAAAAAATTAGTTTTCCATCACTCCCACCAAAAAAGCAAAAAACAAAAAAACAAAACCAGAACACACATACTTCCCACTACCACATTAAAAGAGAAAGTCAGCCATTAGAGAGGCACGTCAAAGCAGACTACCTTTTAGCTAGGAATCTTATAAACCCACTCTCATCAAACTAGTATTCATTAATGTCCACCTACTGACAACATCAAATACTTTATTCTACACACCTCTTTTCCTCCTATTCACCACATGTTTAGGTATTTTAAGTCTACTACATTAGAATATGTAATATTCCTGTATTATTATTCTACTTATTCCCACTTTTGCTTTTAAATTATGTATTCACAATACATTAAGATCAGCCTCAGCAGAATACTTCCAAAAAAGGATTCATACAATATCTTAAAGCAGACCAAATCTATATAAAGCTATTGCAGGAGGAAAATGAAAAACAGAAAAGGGGTGGGGGACTAAGGAAGGAAGGGAGAAAGAAAATAAAACAAAAGCCCTTCAGCTCTTGAGCCCCATTCTTAAAAACAAAGGAACACAAAAAACAAAACCTATGCAAAACATAAGAAAACTGTATCACAAGACCCCAAACTATATTAAATATCCTCAAACAATACACAGGGATATTTTTTAAAATCTTGAATCAGAAATTTAAAAATAAATGAAGCTGGGTGTTCCACTGGTGTTCTCTCAGCTACTTGGGTGACTGAGGTAAGGAGGATTCCAAGTTTGAGCCCAGCCCGGGGAACTTGGCAAAACCCTGTCTCAAAACAAAAGGCCTACAGATGTAGCTCAGTGCTATCTTGGTTCAGTTCCCAGTACTACAAAAAATAAGCATAGTTAATTAAACTTATCATAAAAAGAAACAAAGATAAAAAATAATGTTATAAATGGCTAGGATGTAATGTGTCCAAGGAACAACAGAGCAAATGAAAGTTTAGTAAAACATACTGAAAAAACACAGGAAATCAACTGAAAGAACAAAAATCAAAAAAGAGATCAGGAAGAATACTGCTTAAAAAAAAAAAAAAAAAAAAAAAAAAAAAGACGCAACATATGTATAGCTGGAATCCATAAAGAAGAAAACAAAAGAATGGTACAGAATTAGTATTTAAAGCTATATTCAAAGAAAACTCTGAAAATAAGACTTGAGTCTATATATTAAAACAGTCCAAGGGGCTGGGGATTTAGCTCAGTGGTTCCACTGTCTGCCCTGTAAGCTCAAGGACCTAAAGTCTTAATAAAAAAAAAAAAAAAAAAAAAAAAAAAAAAAAAACAGTCCAAATTTAAAAACTGACTCAATGATAAACTTCAAGATAGTTTAGTAAAACTATTAAAATAAAGGAAAACTTATTAAGGCCTCCAAGCAAAAAGATCAAATAACATATTAAGGCAAGTATATTAAATTAAAATTGAGTCTCCAAAAACAATGAAAACAAGAGCAAACAACAAAAAACAAAATGAGGTAACAAAGGCACATTTGTTTGTTTGTTTGTTTGTTTGTTTGTTTGGTTTGGTTTTTTGAGACAGGGTTTCACTGTATAGTTGAAACTGACCTGGAACTATGTAGCCCAGGTTGGTCTCAAACTCACAGCGATCCTCCTGCCTCAGCCTCCCGAGTGCTAGGATTACAGGCGTGTGCCACCACGCCTGACCAAAAGACAAAATTTTAAAATCCTCAAGGAAAGAAATTGTGAGCCAGGGATTTTATATTTAGCCAAGCTATTCTTTAAATATCAAAGCTATGATAGCTATAATTTTAGTAGTAATTATATAATTCTAATAATAGTACTAGACAAGAATTCACAGAAAATTTTGTAACCTTCCTGAGGAATCTGTAGTGTTTCACTCAACCCAGAAATTACTATGACATCCTGAACAGAAGGATTCATAATGTGCTTTTAATATATTTAAGTGTAGATAAAAGGTGAAAACAGTGGATGCAAGAATATAAAAGTAATAACATAAATATTGTATTACCTGAGAAAGAAGAGATAAAGCAACTAAAAAAAAATTAAAGGAAAAGGGGAAAGAAAAAAGCAAAATAAGTTCAACGACTGTCTAGTTAATAGATACGAATTAGAAATACTATGAAAAATTAACAAACCAGATAGTAAAAAGGTTCATTAAGAAGGTAGAGGTCTAAATATTAGAAAAGTTTTAAGTACAAGAGTAACACTAAATGACCTTTTTAAATAACAAAGAAAACTAAGATGAAACATCAAAGATAATACTTCATATACAGATAGAAATACAGCAAAAATATGGCACGGTGCACACCTGTAATTCCAGCACTTGGGAAGCTGAGGCTGAAGGATCCCTACAAGTTCAAGGCCAGTCTGCACTACATAGTGAGTTCAGGGCCAACCTAAACTATGAAGGGAGACCCTGCCTCAAAAAGCCAAATAATAATAATAATAATAACAACAACAACACACATAATCACAACATGAAATAACAGATGATTTTTGCCTATACAAACCAATCATATCTAAATGAAGGTGAATGTGTTTATCTCTCATAAAGAAAAAGACTTTCAATTTGGTTCACAAACTCAAATCTAATTATATGCTGTATATTAGAAAATTACCAAAAATAAAATTTTAAAAAGCTAAAAAGGAGGCAAAGGCATGCCAGACAAATGGAAAAATAAGAAATAGGGATGTGATATTGACATTAGGCACTCTGCATTCAAGTGAAAAGCACCAAAAGTGACTTTTAAAAGCCATAATTCACAATGAAGATATAAGTATCTATGTACCAAATAATGTAACAATTCTTAGAAATACACATGGAGACACAGAAATACTAACAGTAGGAGGCTTTAACACAGCACCCTCTAAAACAGATCAAGTGGACCAGACTAAGGACAGAGAATCCATAATTAATGGAATAGATCTTAGAGAATTTTACATACTGGAAGCAAATAAATATCACCAAAAAATCACTAAATTTACAAAAGAGAAATATTACAAATAATTAACAAATACTTATGAATTGATTAAATAGGATAGAAAGGTCCTCCCAAATGGAAATTTAAAGTATTAGACAACATTTGTGTGAAAGGGGAAATACAAACAGAATTAGGGAGTTTACAAAAATTAAAAATGAAAACCTTCAAGTCAGAAGTAGAGAATACCCTTAAAGTACAATAAGAAGAAACTCTATAACCTTAAAACACCTACTAGTACAAGATAACAAAAAACAGAAGAATTATTTTCCCAGCTACAGAGCTTTTTGACAAATGTATGTCAAAATAAAGCACAAGGAACAAAATAGCAGATATTTGAGAGCTACATCATCACTTCTAGTGTTCCATAATTATGAATAATGCTTCAATGAACAACCTTTGTACTATTAGAGGTATTGTTTTTATGTTTTAAGAACCAGACAGAAAAAATACTGTGTCCATAATGAGATAACTAAATCAAGACTAGAACTTGCATTAAAGGCAATATATGTTACTTCAGGTAGATAAGCTGCAATTCTTCTGATGTGAAAATCAAGTATATTATATTGAAAAGGGCATACTATATTGTCAGTATGTAATTTCTAAATAAATAAATCTTAGATACTAAAAAACTTGTTTCTAATGGATTTAATAGAATTTGTACAACTTCTACATCTGAATTCATTCCCTTCTACCACATAGAACTTTCATTACTGTAATTTTTAAAAGCATATTTTATAATCCATGTTAGTAAAAGATAAATCACGAAAGAAGTTGGAAAGACTGAAAAGACAATAAGCACAAGACTTTCAGTTACAGGGTAGAATAAAGGAATTTATAGTAATCACTTAAAACCTGATGTTGAAAAATTAGCAGTTATGCTTTGGGTCTATTTAGAGGAATACTGATTCTTTACACTTTTATGTGTGAATTAACATCTATTTTAATAAAAAGATGCTTTAAAAAACGCCCAGATTGTTGCTTGGCTTATTTCTGAAATATAAGTGAGGATTTTTCATTAAAAGAAAAATAATAATAAAGAAAATGGCTTTATCATAAATCACAGAAGAAAAAAAATAGTGTCGTGAATATTTATCATCTTTTTGTTTGTCTGTTTTTGGTACTGGGGCTCGAACTTGGGTCCTTGTGCTTACAAGGCAGGAGGTGGAACCATGGAACTAAATCCCCAGCCCCTATTTATTCAGTTTTGATATTTATTAACTGACATTCATGTGCCATCTTACAGTGAATGTGGAAAACATTCTAATACTTCATTTAAAAGTTAAGGACCAAAATTAGCACTATGTTGTATTTTTTTATGTATTATCTCATTTCATCCTTATAACAACTGTATTTTATAGGGGACACTGAGACAAAGAGGTCTTCCCCTGTATTGTGTAGCTAATGGCAAAACTGGGATTTGTTACTGGGTCTGTCTGACAGTACAGCTCATAAATTCTTAATACCAGTACTTGTGACTGGATTTTTAAAAATACACTATACAAAGTGGGGTGTAGTGTCACATGTCCGAAGTCCCAGCCTCTAGGGAGGCTGAAGCAGGAGGATCACTTGAACTCAGGAGATGACGACCTATCCCTGGGCACTTCGGTGAGACTCTAAAGAAAATGAATGAATACACTACAAAACCTAAATGCTTTTAAAATTTATGACAGAATAGTAAAATTCTAGAGGAATATATTTATGAATCACATTTTAAAAGTAATGCTTCATAGCTTATCCTGATCTCTGCTAGCATTTCTTGCTAATTATTTACCAGGCTGTATCATTTAACATGTGTACTTAACTCTCACAAAAACTATGAAAGCCAAGTGTGATAATGCACACCTGTAATCCCAGCACTCTGGGAAGCCGAGACAGAAGGATCACAAATTTGAGCCCAGTCTGGACAACTGGGGGACTTAGTAAGATCCTGCCTCAAAATGAAAAATAAAAGCTAGAGATGTAGCTCAATTCAAAGACCCTGGGTTCAATCCCAGCAAAACACACACACACACACGCGCGCGCGCACTCACGTGCACTCACGTGCACGTGCTCATGCACACAAACTATGAAGTAGATAATAATATAACTCACACTGTACTGATGAGAATGAAACTTGAGGAAGAAATGTATTCTGCCACCACAACACAACCAGGATCCAAACCCAAGTCTTCTCATCCTAGTCTTAAGCAAAACCATTATACTACTTCTACATAAAGCCCCCCCCCAAAAAAAAAGTTAAAATTTTTCTTTAATTAGCAACTACTAGATCCTTTCTGGTTAAGTTTCTAAAAAAATAAGACAAGTTGGCCGGGAATTTGGCTCAGTGGTTCTGCCACCTGCCTTGCAAGTGCAAGGTCCTGAGTTCAATCCCCTGTACCAAACCAAACACAAACAAAAACAAAAAGACAGCTTCTGAGAAATTACTGCTACTGGACACACAACAGGGAGAAATGGTCGTTTTTCATTCATTCAACAAATATTTACTGAACATCTAACCAGGTGACCCAGGCACTGTTCTGGGCCAGTGGTTTACAAAGCAGGCAGTCTTCGTTCTGCAGAGTGGGGATTATGTTTCTTCCTAAATATTTACAGAGACTAAACATGCAGAACATTGGCAAAACTTTGCATTTGGAAAATACTATTTGAACCATTATTTTAAATTTAGTTCACTTGCGAGGCAGGCCACTGTATAAGCTTGAGTGCCCCAATGAAATTTTTCAGTTTCTCCACCAGGGATGGTATTCTAGCTAGTCCACTGAAACACATGCCTTTAGCCCCAAGAGGGACTAGAGGAATTAATCCATTCACATCAATCCCTAGTACTGAGAATCATAAATCTATTCCATTTTCATGGCACACTACTGTAACATACACACACACTCACAAACAAGGGGAAAATTTTAAGTGTAGTCCTGAAGAAAAAACACTGATACAGAAAGAACCAGAACAGAACTGAGAATGATGTCTCTTAATTTAAACTGGGTAACAGAGTTTGCTAACACATCCTCTGCAAGCCAGCACTGAACTGTCAGATACAACTAGTGAGTGCTTATTCCATGTGTGTAAACAGCACTTGTGACAGCAAATAATGTGATTAGCAATATGTCTGTATTCATCTTTAGGAAACTACTAAGTGCTTTGAAAATCTTAATGAGTTTTCTTATTTTAAAATAAGGTGAATCCTGACTCCACATGATGCTGTGAAGATCAGTATGACAGTGCTAATTAAAGGAAAGATAAGAAAAATTAAGCATATATGCTTACCTTTAAAGATAAGGATCTAGCAAGAAAAAAGTGATCTACATCGATAACAGAAGCCAAAAATCCAGCTAAAATTACTTCTCCAAAGTCAGTCTTCTTCTTGGTTCCAGTAACTATTGCCCATGACCACATCCCAATTACACAATGTACTGCATTATCTGAGAGGGCACGGAGCCAGTCATTTTGCTGAATTATGGAAAACTGAAGAAGTCTGTCAGCTACTAAGCAAAATATCCCCAGACCAAAGCTGGAAATAAGAGAGTCAGTGCTACAAGACTGGAATAGGGCATAAGTCTTCTGAGCCTCAGATGCCATCATAAACAATACGTCAGTATACACCAAAAGCCATTAGGAACAACTTCTTCTTGCTTGCTTTTCATTCCCAGTGCCCTAAAACAGAAAGGGGAGAAAAAATTAATGAAGATTACAGACTGCCATAATATTTAATACAACAAAATCATTAATAATTTCAAAAATATAAAACCAAGTTATAGAAACTAGCATCTCTTACATGTTATATACAGTAAGCCAGGTGGCCCAAGGATAATAGATTAACTCTGTAGGAATAACAGTTTACAAAGTATGTGGAGAATTTCATTATCTCTGAATTAAAAACAATCCAAAAGTTCATCAACATGTGAATGAACAAACGAAACGTGGAAAAAACAAAAAGGTATTGTACATAAAACATGGGTGAATTTCAATTATACTAAATAAAAGAAACTAAAACAGACAAAAAAGAACATATTTAAAACTCACAGAACTATACAACACAAAAACCAACCCTGGTGTAAACTATGGAATTTAGCCAATAGTAATGTATCAATATTGGTTCATGAATTGTAACAAAAGAGTACCACACTGATGCAAATATCAATAATATGGAGAGCCTGGCACTATGGTGTTTGCTTGTTGTTCCAGCTGCTTAGGAGCCAGGGCAAGAAGTACTCTAGGGAATTTCGACCCTATTTCATAATAAGAAAAAAAATTGAAGGGCTGGGATGTATCTGAGTGACAGAGCATTTGCCTAGAATGCACAAGTCTCTCGGTTCAATCCCCAGTACCACAAAAAATAACAAAAACAATAATGGCGAAATGTGTGCAGGCAGAAAGTATATGTGAACTTCCTGTAAGTCTGCTCAATTTTTCTGTGAACCTGAAAGTGTTCCTTAGGTTTATAAAGCCTATTGATTTTTTAGAATGAAGTCCTATAAATTAAAAAATTAAATGAAACACATTTGGATACATACTATAATCTTTTTCTTTTTTGTGGTATCAAGGAATTCAAGGCCTTGCACATATTAGGCCTGGTATAACTGTTAAATCTAGGTGGTGGATGTAGTGTAGTTCATTATACTGTTCACTACTCTTCTGTATGTTCAAAGTTTTCATTTAGAAAAAAATCTTTTAAGAATACACAGTGTGATTCTATTTATATCAAATTCTAGAAAGTGTAAGCTAACCTGTAGGGACAAAAGGATGATCAGTGGTTGTCTAGGGACAAGAAGCAAAAGGAAACTCTGGGGTGATTCATACACTCATTATTATCTTGATTGTGGTAACAGTTTCAAGGTTCATAGCTTCATATATGTCAAAATTCATCAAATTGTATATTTAAGAATGCAGTTCATTATATGTCAATTATATTCCAATAAAGATTTTGAAAACTTAGGAAAATACACTTTGATAATAAAAATAGCAGGCTTCCATGAGAAAGGAGCAACCTGAAATTAATAGATTGTAGAGAAGAAAAGCCTAGTGGCCCAGCTAAAAAGTTAACAAAAGCAATGCACAGCAGGATAAATGCTCCAAAAAACAAAATCAGGAAATAACACTTTCAAAGAGTTTTTCCAAAGCTTAGGAGAAAAACAAAAGGCAAAGAATTAAGCACTGAAAGAAAAAAATAAATTCCAAAAATAAAGACAAAATCCTAAAGAGTTTCCAAGTTAATAATTATCTGGAGAGAGAAAGGGAGAGGGAGAGAGAAGTGCTAGGACAGTAACACTCTGCCAGAAAAGGGTCACAACTGTGGGACTCCAAACGTAGCTACATTAAGGCACTTGTGTGGCAATCATAAATTTTAAGAGTTGTCTTTAGCCCGGTATGATTTCAGGGGGAGAGAAGACTGAGGAACAGAAGTTCTAAATCTGGGGAGCAAATAAAGAAAACTTGATCAGTACTGAAAGACAGAAAAGGGGGAAAAAAAGGAAAGAAGAAATCTTATTCTCTGTCTTCTCCTCACCAAAAATCCAAACATATAAAAAAACAAATACTATAATACATGTGTTAAATTCCTTCATAATGAGACAATCAGACTGAGACAAAAGGAAACATCCATTGTATTACTGTTCATAAGAAAACACTTGAAACAAAAACTTAACATATAAAATAAAGACACGAGAAAATATATGCCTAGAAAATACAAACAAAATAAAGCAACAGTGGTAATAGTAATATCAAACATAAAGCAAGGCAGAAATGACTAAGACTAAAGGGTAACAAGGTTACATAAGTTATACATGAAGATGTTCACCTGTCAATATAGCAGTAAAATATATAAATTAAATCAAGCAGTAAAAAAAGGTAGATATAATCTGAATAATATAATTACAAACTTTATTTCATAGTTATATATAGAACTTTTTATGTTATAAAGAATACAAATTCTTTTCAAATGTCCACGGAACATTTATAAAAGTTAACCACACATTTCCTCAGCCACAAGAAAAGTTTCAGAAAAATCAAAAGTGGAAATATAAAGGTGAGATTCTCTAACCACAATGTATTATAAATAAATACAGTAAAAATCATTGCTTTTTAACAAAAAGAAAAATGTAGTAGCTTACGAGGCACAAAGAAACTAAGCTTTACCAGGGATGCAAGTGATACTACTAGATTCAAAAGACTTGTGTATTTTTCAAGTGCTTATTCTCTATAAACGTTTCAGAAAATAAAACAAAACCTCAAAGACCAAGGACTTTGTCTAATTTGATCTCTGCTACAACCTCAGCACATGGTGCGAAATAATATTCACTGAATGAAATTTTAGTATACACTGCATCTGATATGCATGATGTATTAAATATTAAGCATAATTAAAGAGCATTTGGTAAAATACAACATCTTGGGAACTTGTATTTTTATTAAGTCTGCATGTCAGGTAATTCTTTTGGTTCACTAAACACCAAGAGCCATTAGTTTACCAAAAATGATAAAACCACTTGGTTTAGGAATCAAAATAATGAAAATCTAAAAAAATTACCTTAAAAGTCAGAAACAATACAGTTATTACAACATTGTTCTGGCAAGTTAAATCAGTGTAATAAAGTGGGGAGCCAGGGTAGGAAGGAGTGAGGGAGGAGAGAAGGGGAAGAAAAGAAAGAAAATTCATCAGTATGTTATCAAAAGAAAAAAGATGCCTACATTACCTTGCAGCTAAAATGATGGCCTATCTAAGAGAAGTAACTGAAAACTGTTTAAGTTGGAAAGTGTTTTCTCAGTATACCAGAAATCATAAGGAAAAGAGATGGGAAAATGAACATTCACAACTCAAAATTCAAGGTATAAGTTATACAGTAAATGTATATGAAGAAAAGCAGAAACTTTTATTAAAGGTGAAAAAATCAATCTTCTTGAAGACACAGGCTGGCAACACAAATTTTCCCAAGAGGAAGAAATTTTTATTGAAGGAGAAAATAGTGATCCACAAAAGGCAGGCAGCAGGAGTGTCTCCAAGAAAAACAGAAAACTCTTCCTGGGAGAAGTCAGCTCACTCAGATGCCATAATAGTGCCAGGAAAAAGAAAGCAACTCCAACAACCACCCCCGGAAGATTAGATTAGAATAGATGTTTCCTGGGAGGAGGGCATATCTCATGGTGACCTTTCTCAACTCATGTCCTATACCCCAGTAAAAACCAAGTCACAGAGCTGCTATCACTCAGGCGCCGGGAGGTAGCCTGGGCCCCGATCCACCGCGGGAAGGCGACCCACGCCTGCTCCCGACCCAGCAGCCATCGCTCAAGCGCCAGGAGGTAGCCGCACGGGTGCCCCTGAACCCCCATAAGGCCCCACCCCCTGCACACTCTCAGACCTCCTGACTGTGCCAGTCTTTGGACCCACTCTGAAGAGGCAGAGGTGGTCATCAAGGGTATTTTTCTGAGTTTCCAACTTTGAACATCTTTAAAGAAAGGGCGTGGGAAATCTGTAATAGAACGTTGTGGAGTTCAACCATTCAGAAGGTTGGGGAACTCAATCTGGGCCTTGTAGCCCGAGGTCAGTCAGCGTTATGGGGTTCAGCCATCAGCTAACTGAGATCAGGGGTCTTGCATCCTTGCTCTGTCTGAGCCATTAAATGGTAAATACACTATATTGAAATTTTGTTCACTGCAGACATGTTCTGGACTGCTTCTTGATTTCAATTTAATTCAAATGATTTAAGGGTGATAGACTAGTGACTACCACAGGTGGTCAGTGTCCAAGTTGTGCTTGATCTTAATGTGTTGCTGATTGTATCAGTTAGGATAAAGCATTGTGGTTGATTTGATGAGCTGTTTTCTCTGATGTTATGAAGATGAGAATGTCTGTGGGTCGTTAGAGACACAGAAGCTAGGGTGCAACTATATCAGGAAGATTTGGGTGATAATCCAGAGATTAAACCAAGGACAGCCGGACAACAAAAATTAAAATGAGAAAACACTTAAGCAAGACACAAGGACAGACTTTCAGTTTACCAATGGCAAACAGTAGGGCAAATGAGGACGAAAAGGCCGACAGTGAACCACCAGGACACCCTGAACTCAAAGCACAGGAAGTAACAAAACAGATCAATCAGGCTCTAGAAAAATTCAAAATAGAAATAATTTCCCAGATAACCACAGAGAGTGAGCAAAATGGAAGTTGTGATTCAAGACTCTAGAGCAGAAACTGACAAAAAAATAGATGAGCTTAGGACCATGATAGAAGCAATGAAGGCCCAGAATAAGAAAGAATTGGAAAAAATAAACGCCCAACATAGGAAAGAAATGGAATCCATAAAACAGATTCAAATAGATATCCAGGAGATTAAACACTCCATAGAAAGTGTACACAACAGAATAAAAGAATACGAAGATAGGCTCTCAGATATAGAAGATAAGATTGCAGTCAGTGACCATGAAAAGAGAGATCTCTTAAAAACAGTAAGGGATCATGAGAAATAGATCCAACAACTCCTAGATGATGCAAAGAAGAATAACATAAGACTGAGAGGAATACATGAAGTAACAGGAGAAAATACAAACGACTTTAAAAAGCTGTTCGCAGAATTAATGACAGAAAACTTCCCAAACAGAGGGGAAGA